TTTCGTCGCTATATCGATTAGCAAAACAAAAAAACCATTTGCCGATGGTTTTACAGACGGAATTTGCGTGCCAAAAAGAAGATTCTCGCTTGAAATATACCGATGAATTTGTATTCCGTCAATGATATCGTGATTTACCGACGGACACTAACCGTCGGTAAAGCTGTCGGTGAGTGTATGAAATACCAACCAAATATATTCATCTGTAAATTCATCGGTAAGTGTGGCAACTACTGTTAAATGCCAACGGAGTAATTCCGTCGGTAAGTCGGTCGGTGAGTGTTTAAAATACTGACCAAATGAATCCGTCGGTAAAATCTTGGTAATTTTTTTTTCTAAATTTGTTTTTAAAAAATTATTTAGGATATATAATATAAAACTTATAAATTAATTGTAATACAAACCAATTATGCAAATAAAATTTATATTAAACAAAAAAAAAGTTAAATATTATTCATTACAAAGTGAATATGTTTCAAAAAAAAATATTAAATGAAGTTTTAAAGGTAAATAATGTTTATTACAAATTAATATAAAGGTGGAGCTGGAGGAGGAGGAGATCCTGGAGGAGGCTGGTGATTATACGATCAAAAAGGATTAGGCGCATATGTTCCACTATTTGCCATATTCATAACCATTTCGCGAAGCTATTCATAGTCCGCTTTTTGTTGTGCTTGAGACGCTTTGATTTGCTCAAACTCCACTCTTTGGTGTGCATGAGACGCTTTAAGTTGTGCGTACTCCGGTAATAGGTGGTCGTATTTCTCGGTAAGCTAAGTCATGTGTTGCTGCAAGGCCTCGAACTCCTTAGATTGGGAGCTCCCAACGGTTGAAACACTACAGGTCGACCGCAAGTTATCGGCCATAGTGTTGGAGAGCCCGTAAACCTGATTTTTATCGGGTCCACCTGACAAGCCAACCTACATCCACAAATCCGGATCGAATTCCAAATGGGTCAAAATATCATCCCCGTATCTCTCCCTCAACCGATTATTATAGGTCTCTTGAAAATAAAAATAAAAAAATTAATCATCATATTCAATTTAATAAACATAATAACTTACATAATAACTTACAAAATAAAATAGTTGAACAAACATACCACGAAATGTTGAGCACGGTTATCAACGAACTGTTACACCCCCTTCTGGCGGTCTTGACTCCGCACATGCGTCTCCACAAACAGCTCCATCGGGCTCGACTCACGTCTAAGAGACGCAGCCTATAATGAAAAAGGATATATTAACAACAACTGAATTTAATGATATATTTCATTTAAATTAATCTTACCATCTGTTTCGCATGTGCAGTGACACGATGAAAAGATTGATGTCTTCTCCCAAGTGCAGGAGTGTCGAAGTAATAAATAACCCGGCAAGACCGGGGTCGAAACACAGGGAGGTTAATTGTACAAATTATAAATAACAATAATACAATAACAATAACAATAACAATAACAACAACAACAACAACAACAATAATAATAATAATAATAATAATAATACTAGTTGTAGTAGTAGTAGTAGTAGTAGTAATAATAATAATAATAATAATAAAGAAAGAGAAGAAGAAGAAGATGATGAGAACTTGGCGATGGAAAATTAATGTAAGGATTAAACAATAATAATAACAAATGTCAAGTTTAGAGGTTCCACTAATGGTATATCAAACAAGTATAGTATAGACTCTTCTTATTGAATTGGAAACCACACACAAAGGAGGTTCAAATCAGATTATATATTGTTAACATGATTACATTAGTCCTCTTATTCAATTAATGCTAATACTTGTAAATCTCGTCAAGCATTCATGATTATAACTTATGTTAAAAACAAATCAAGTTCCTTTCATAGCTCAGGTGTCGGTTATACCATACATTATGGGCTATGAAAGTGCCAAGCATTTGTTGCACCAGGTGTTATACAACATAAATCAAGATTAGTCATTTAACAAGCAAAGTATTAAAGAGTGAACAAGATAACAAATATAAAACATGTTAGTATCAAACATTAAGGTCCATATTAAGTTTACATTATACTTATTCTCACACCATTAGTGTAACCTTTTCACCTTGACATGACTAACTTAGCTAGACATAATGAAAGAAAGAAAAATTGATAAACAAAATAAGAACATAAAAGCTAACTAAGTAAAGGAAAGCAAATGAAAGGCATAAACTTGATATTAATGAAAGTAAAGCATAAACATTACAAAGAATACAAAGAGAGAAAGGAAGAGTATGATCTTGATCTGGAAACCAAGATCCTAAATGCATGGCAAATTTCCAACATATTCAATTACTAATCCTAAGGTAAATTCAACATTAAAAATTACATTTCAAAAAATTATTCAATAATTATGCCAATACAACAAAACAATAAATTAAAATAAAACTCTAGAATAACAATCAAAATAAATGGAAAAAATTAAACCCAAATCATGCAATAATAAAGTAAAATTAATAATTATTCCAACATATTCAATTACTAATCCTAAGGTAAATTCAACATTAAGAATTACAATTCAACAAATTATTCAATCATTATGCCAATACAACAAAACAATAAATTAAAAAAAAACTATTAAAGTAAATTCTATGGTAAATTCAACATTAACAATAAATATTCAACAAATTAACTAATAATAATTATGCCAATACAGCAATAAAACATATTCAATAAATTCAAAAAAAAACTATAGATTTTAGCAATGAATTATGCAAAAAAAAAACTATAGACTTTATCTACATTACAAAAAATACACCAAAACAAAAAACATAACAAAAAATAGCAAGAAAAAACCATTAAAGTAAAATGAAATAGAAGAAATACTAACCTTTTAAACTAATGGAGATTCATGACAAAAAATGCTTTAGATCGCTAGTGAAGAACGCAGAGCAGCACAGAGAGGAAAAGAATGGTGAAAAATTGAGGAGAAGAAAAAATGAATTGAAGAGGCGGTTGGGGGAACTTATATGCCAGTTTTACTGACGGCTTCACCGACAAATATAAAATTAATTATTATTTATTCCATCGATGAGGTGTTAAAAATCCGTCAATACATTTTTGAATTTCGCACCAAATTTTTTAATGACCCTCCATATTTTTCGTGGTCCGTCGGCAATATGATGCGGTCAGAGATACATTTAATGCACAACACTTTGAAATGCGCACGGTCCGTCAGTACGTTTGTTGGTAAAATTGATCCGCCGCCAACGTGCCAACGAATATAAATCTGTCGGTGTTGCCGTCGGTGATGTGGTGGCATTTCAAGTAATTATTTTCGAACTCTATGTGAAATGCCGACGGACTTAAGGCCGTCGGTGATGTGGTGGCATTTCAAGTAATTATTTTCGAACTCTATGTGAAATGCCGACGGACTTAAGGCCGTCGGTGATGTGGTGGCATTTCAAGTAATTATTTTCGAACTCTATGTGAAATGCCGACGGACTTAAGGCCGTCGGTGATGTGGTGGCATTTCAAGTAATTATTTTCGAACTCTTTGTAAAATGCCGATGGACTTAAGGTCGTCGGTGTTGTCATCGGTGATGTGGTGGCATTTCAAGTAATTATTTTCAAACTCTTTGTGAAATGCCGACGGACTTAAGGTCGTCGGTGTTGCCGTCGGTGATGTAGTGGCATTTCAAGTAATTATTTCATGTTACAAAATATATCATCCATGATCAATAATTATTTCAAGTAATTATTTCGTAATTGTGGCATTTCAACTAATTATTTCAAGTAATAAATATTTTATGTTTCAAAATATATCATCCATAATCTAAATTACATGAGAAAAAGAGTTTTACATAGGGCTTCATTTTGGTAGTTAGTCAGAATTTTCTTCTTCATCATCATCAATTGAATTGTTATCACCTTCATCGCAATCTTCAATATGAATATCATCTTCTTCATCGACATTTGCTTGTCCGCTAGAGCTCAAAACAAAATCCAACTCCTCTGCGTCAACATTAACAAGACTATCATCGAAAACATGAAAATTTGAATTTTCTTCCAATTCAATCAAAGGAGCAACTCGATATGGTTCAACCACCTCACTAACTTGAAAGACTTCATCTCGCACACTTGTGTCTTCATTCTCATCCTGAACAACCTCGACACGACCCCGGGGTTTCATTTTTAAAACTGACAACCAATCCACTCTTGATCAATCCTTTCTAAATAAAGGGGTGTGTTTGTAATAAACTTGTCGACATTGCTTTGCGAAAACAAAGACATCGTTTATGTTGCGTAGTCTAGCTTTTGAGTTGATTTCGACCAGACCATAGTGCGGATCAACTCTGATTCCTCTGTCAGTCATGTCATACCAATAGCATTTGAATAAAAAGACTCTATTCTGCTCGTTATGATATTGCAGCTCGACGACCTCTGTTGTATGTCAACTTCTAACTCACTACTAATGGATCCCTTAACACAAACATTGTTGTGTATGTCTTTCTTCCTTGTCCGTATTCTTCAGTATGGAAAACATATCCATTGACAAAATACCTGTTGTAGCACTTACATTTTCTTTCAGACCCCAAGCTTAGTGAAGACAATGACTTAGGTGCACTCCTTCCCATTTGATAAACCTTGTATGTAATGTACATCAATAAATAGTAAATGAACGAGAATCTCGTAATGACATGCATACGTACAGTAATTTTGCAAGTTAGAATAAGTTTGTGATAGTGCTTACATGTGTTTTGAACCATGTGGCAAACTGCTCATCTTGTAATTGAAAGATCTAGGATTCGGTCAGTTGTGAGTTATTGAAGAGCAAATATTATCGATGTTGCCTGCAAGTGATAATGAGTGTATGATATTACAATATATAATTAACAGTATATTACTAATAAAGTTTAATTAGTATAAACTTACTGAATAAAAGGTCTCAGCTCATCATAGTTAAATAGAACATAGTTATGTGCTTGTTTAAACTCTATTTCCAACAAATATCTTCCTCTTACGGCATTTTTAGATGTGGGTCGTCCAGTATTGGAGAATATTGACAAGTTCCTACTAGAAGACACTTCACCGCCATCATCATGCTAGGGAACGCGATTGATTCTCGTTCTCAAATGAGATTCAAAATAGTATGAGATAAATATTGAGATCTCCTCAATAATATAGGCCACACATATCGAAGCCTCAACATACGCCTTATTCTTAACCTTTTCTTAAGATTAAACAAGTACCTGCATTGAAATATTAATCAAGTATTTTCAATTAAGAAAAACATATAAAATACTTTTATATATGAATTACATTGCAACTGTAATATCTAACCGTTCGAATGGGTACATCCATCTATATTGGACCGGTCCTCTAGCTTTTGCCTCGAATAGTAGATGTATAGGGAGATGCTCTATTGAGTCAAAAAAATGATGGAGGGAATATCATCTCAAGTTTGTATAGTGTTTTGAATATTTGTTTAAAGCCTCTCAATGTGATCAACATTCAACTTGCTAAAGCATATATCTCTGAAGAAATGATTGATCTCCGTGAGTGCATCCCATATTCCCTTTGGCAACAAATCACGAAAAGCTAATGGGATGAGTGTTTGCATAAACACGTGGCAGTCATGACTCTTCATGCCATACAATTTGCAGTCCTCTATATTAACCAGTCATGATATGTTCGATGCATGTCCAACCGGAAAACACAGACTCTTAAGCCATTTGTAGACTAGCAGTTGTGTGTTTTTCTCTAACACGAAGCTTGCTCTTGGTTTTGCGACCCGTGACTCATCATAAATCAACTTCATATTTTTACAGTTACAGTATAAAGCTATATTCAATCTAGCCTTGATGTTGTCCTTTGTCTTCCCCTTCACATCCATGACGGTGTTGAAAATGTTCTCAAACATGTTCTTTTCGATGTGCATGACGTCCAGGTTATGGCGGAGCAGATTGGTCTTCCAATAAGAAAGCTCCCAAAAGATACTTCGCTTTATCCAATTATGGGTCAAACCAAAACCAAGAAACTTTTGCTTACCTGATTGAAGGCCAAACATAATGTCACCGTACTTTGAGACAACATCATGCAATTCTTCACCAGAAAGACGCGAGGATGCAACATCTTTTTCAACTCTGCCAACAAAGAAATCTTTTCTGTTCTTTTTGTACCTTTGATTAAGTGGCAAAAAGCGACGGTGACAGTCAAAAAAAGAAGCTTTACCTCCATTTGCTAGCGTGAATGCCTTGTTGTTTTCCATGCAGTATGGACATGCAAGTTTCCCATGTGTGCTCCAACCAGAAAGCATTCCATAAGCTGAAAAATTATTGATAGTTCACATCAA